TAAAAATAATAAATTTTAATAATTAAACCGATAAATGTTATAAGATGTATTAAATTGGAGAGTGCACTAATAATTTTTTTTTTTATAAATACACAAACATGCAATCACACACTTCATGACTTGCTTTTTGAATCTACTAACGGTTTGGATTCTAACTGTATCCACTAGTCTCAAACTACTAAATAAAAAGTTTTATCAGACATCTAATTTATAGCGATATCAAAATAAATAAGTTTACCAAATGTCTATTCATAGCAATTTGAACAAAACCACTAATCGTTACCTCTAAATTGTTATACCAAACGAGTCCCTAGTACCTAGAAAAATACCAAAATTAAAACAAACATATAATTGACAATATAAAACAAAAATTTTGGAACTAAATTGGACACTGTTACTTAAAGGCCCATTTGGTATAATAGTTTGAAACAAAGTAGTCAATATCGTATTGGCATACGTACTGATTTTGCTATTAAAACAGTATGTACCGGATACCAAAATTTTTCACGTACCATTTCGGATTTATCGCTATATATATATATATTTTTATAAATTAAATATTAAATTTTAAAATAAAATAAGAGATATTAATGTTTAAAACCATCATATTCTTATAAATTGAAAACAAGTTTAAAATGATCATTTTTAGTCTCTCAACTTTTAATATATGCATATTTTTTCATCTATCCACTTTAAATTAAGGGACTAAAAATGTGTATATTTAAACAAACTTAACGAAGTATTTGATAGAATGACTAAAAAAACTGAAGAATGGACTAAAAAAATTAAATGATGAAAATTATGTAAAACATTAAAATTAAGGACCAAAAATTAAATTTGTCCTTTTTAAATTTGAATTGAGTGGTACAGGACAATTTTTGTGTACAGGTCGATACACCTAAATTTGATCAAAACAGACAAAATTTGATCGAAATAAAATTAAACCATATATCATTTTGATTTAATATAAAAACCAATACGTACCGACCGTATCAACCGGTACGGTACGGTATCAGAAATCATGGTGTGGCGGCTTTGTTTCATCTTGTATAATCAAAGTCTCTTATATATTACTGGCTAGAAGGGAAACGTTTGTGTATTGAGGTATCCTTTGA